GACAGGAAGTGACCTTTTTCCTGTCCCCAGCCTCCAGAGACTCCTAGAGAGGCTCCTAGAGAATCCTAGAGAGGTTCTGGAGGCTGGGGACAGCAAAAAATGTCACTTCCTGTCCCACCGGGAGTTGGGAAATGGGCTTTTTCAGCCTCCGTAGGGCCTCCAAGGGAGTGGGAAAGGCTGTTTTCGCCATTCCCAGATACACAGAGAGGATCTGGAACCAGGTAAGAAAGAAAAACGGGCCTACCAGGCCATCATGTGCCAAGAGCGGGGGGAGGGGGTTGCGCACAAATGCGCGTGGGCAAGTGCGCGCGTGACCCTCCCCCACCCACCTCTCTCCTGGCACGCGATTGCAAAAAGGTTAGCCATCACTGTCCTAGCCCTTTTTTTCTTTAAACGCCTCTGATGATCCAAGCTGAGTTGCCTGATCGTTAGAGGCATTTAAAAGAAAAAAAGTCTCTGCTGATCAGGCAACTCAGCTTGGATCGTCTGAGGCATTTGATGATCCCAGCTGAGCCGCGTGATCATCAGAGGCTTTTTTTTTTTACTTTTAAAAGCATTTTTTCGGCCGAAGAAGTTGTAGAAAAAATGCTTTTAAAAGTTAAAAAAAAGCCTCTGATGATTGTGCGGTTCACCTGGGCATGGGGGGGAGGGCAGAGATTTTTGCTACCGGTTCTCTGAACCACCCGCCTCCATTGCTACCGGATTGGGCAATCTGGTTTGAACCGGGAGCATTTCACCCCTGCCCACACCCACAAATTCATCACATTGTCCAATCAACTCTTCACACTCCACCGGATACAATCTTCAGGCAGTCTCCATCAGACACAGGCAAAAGTCCTTGAATACGGAATATTGTTATGACTAACTTTCTACGGCTCCAACAACAACCCCCTCCCAACTTCCCCAGCTAAAATATGTGCTTCTTTTTAGAAGCAAAAAGAAAATTGTCTTCCAAAACTGACACTTGGACTTTTTCCCATAGGTTGGATGTTGTCATTTATTACCTTGTCACTCACCAAACAGATCACACTGCCTTTCAACCTAGCAGTAGCAAAAACATACCACAAAATGATTTATGGGTCTCCCGCTGGCGGAGTAACTTGCTGGATTAACTTTCCAGCAGTTTTGATACAAAGCAATGTCCAAATACCAAAACCTTTCTGTTGGGTTGATTTTCATTCTCAAGAACTAAGTAAACAGGGAAATTGTTTGATTGTGCTAAGAAATTGTTTTGGGCTGGCCTGGTATCAAATAGTGATTTGCACAATATTTAGCATCCGTGAGTACATGTTCATATATATGGATGGAGAAACTCAACTATTAGAACAAAATTCCCTGCTAAAATTGCTGAATAAGTCTATCTATCACACTATCTAACAAAATGAAATTCAATGGTGAAAAAAGTAAGGCTCTACATTTAGGCAAACCCCCCCCCCCAAAATGCACTGGTACAGCATATGTGGTACTTTGCTCAATAGTAGTAACTGTGAGAGGGATCTTGGAGTCCTAGTGGACAACCATTTAAATATGAGCCAGCAGTGTGCAGCAGCTGCCAAAAAAGCCAACACAGTTCTAGGCTGCATAAAGAGAGGGATAGAATCAAGATCATGTGAAGTGTTCATACCACTTTATAATGCCTTGGTAAGGCCACACTTGGGAGTATTGCATCCAGTCTTGGTTGCCATAATATTTTTTTTAAAATTTCATTTATATGCCGCCCTTCTCTGGAGACTCAGGGCGGCTTACAATGCGTTAAGCAATAGCCTTCATACTTTTGTATATTTATACAAAGTCAGCTTATTGCCCCCACAAACTGGGTCTTCCTCATTTTACCTGCCTTAGAAAGGATGGAAGGCTGAGTCAACCTTGAGCCTGGTGAGATTCGAACTTACAGTAATTGCAGACAGCTGGTGTTAATCACAATGCTATCAGTCTGCTGAGCCACTAGGCCCGGTGATATAAAATATAAAAAAGATGTTGAGACTCTAGAAGAGCAACAAAGATGATTAGGGGACTGGAGGTTAAAACATATGAAGAACTGTTTCAGGAACTGGGTATGTATAGTTTAATGAAAAGAAGGACTAGGGGAGACATGATAGCAGTGTTCCAATATCTCAGGAGCTGCCACAAGGAAGAGGGAGTCAAGCTATTCTCCAAAGCACCTGAGGGCAGGACAACAAGCAATGGGTGCAAACTAATCAAGGAGAGAAGCAACTTAGAACTAAGGAGAAATTTCCTGACAGTTAGAACAATTAATCAGTGGAACAACTTGCCTCCAGAAGTTGTGAATGCTCCAACACTGGAAGTTTTTAAGATGTTGGATAACCATTTGTCTGAAGTGGTGTAGGGTTTCCTACCTAAGCAGGGGGTTGGACTAGAAGACCTCCAAGGTCCCTTCCAACTCTGTTATTCTATTCTATTCTATTCTATTCTATTCTATTCTATTCTATTCTATTCTATTCTGACATTTTTCTGGGCAACCTCCCACAATCCGGAGGGAGATTGGTGGCGGTCTGATTACTGCCACCATCATTTTATTTAAAGAGAAATTTCTTTTGGCATCTTTATCTCATAGGAGGCTAATGGGTCTGTCTTATCCTTGGGTAGGTGACAGAGAGGACACGATGAGTGGTGAACTAAGTTCCATTTTCAAAATGAGACTACAGATTTCAAAGGAGATTTAAGTGCTGTATTGTGTCGATGAAGATTTGGCAAGCCCATTGAGAATAGAAGACAAAAAAGAAAAAAGGAAATGTCATTTTTTTAGCTTATCTCCTCTGGCTTAAACATACATACTGACACAAGCACAATTCAAATAGAAGAAATTAGTACTAATGATACAAAAAAGACAAAAAGAGGTGTGGCTGTCTGTTCTTGATCTTCATCTATCTCCGCATCTCTAGAGATGGCCATTTTCTTCTTGCTTCCCTGATTTTCTGCTCGAGATTAAGGTGAATTTCTTACCTAATAGGAGATTTCTTACCTGGAGAGATGCTATTTAACGAAGATGGGAAGCGAATAGAAATGATATTTTTCCTGCTTTAGGAAAGTTTTCCTCCATAAACGTTTTGGGAAGAAAAGGCTCACATATGAACAAATACGGACCCTGATTTCTTATTACACTAGGAAATCTGAATCTGTTAATCAACTTCTCTGTTAACCAATAGAGGGATAGAATCAAGATCATGTGAAGTGTTAATACCACTTTATAATGCCTTGGTAAGGCCACACTTGGAATACTGCATTCAGTTTTGGTCGCCAAGATGTAAAAAAAATATGAAGACTCTAGAAAGAGTGCAGAGAAAAGCAACAAAGATGATTAGGGGACTGGAGGCTAAAACATATGAAGAATGGTTGCAGGAACTGGGTATGTTTACTTTAATGAAAAGAAGGACTAGGGGAGACATGATAGCAGTGTTCCAATATCTCAGGGGCTGCCACAAGGAAGAGGGAGTCAAGCTATTCTCCAAAGCACCTGAGGGTAGGACAAGAAGCAATGGGTGGAAACTAATCAAGGAGAGAAGCAACTTAGAACTAAGGAGAAATTTCCTGACAGTTAGAACAATTAATCAATGGAACAACTTGCCTCCAGAAGTTGTGAATGCTCCAACACTGGAAGTTTTTAAGAAGATGTTGGATAACCATTTCTCTGAAGTGGTGTAGGGTTTCCTGCCTAAGCAGGGGGTTGGACTAGAAGACCTCCAAAGCCCCTTCCAACTCTGTTATTCTATTCTATTCTAATCCTGGCATATGAGAGGGAGACAATCAGGAGTCCTAGTTTGGATATCAGTCTATTTTTTTCCACCTAATAAATTTCTGATTACTTTAAACTGTTATTGACTGCAGCAATTGAAAAACAGTTAAGTAGCATACACTAGTAAGATTATCATTTTTCAATAAACATTTTGGGTGAGTGTGCTACAAACTGGATAATAACCGTTCAAGAAGAAATCTATTTGAAATTAGAGAACAAGAAGATAAACAATATTATAAGATATGGGATTTATTTTATCAATGGTTAGATAAAAAATATGGAAATGAAATATGATAGAGATTTTTATAATACAAGAATTGTAGAACTATATAAAATATAACATGAAGATGTATTATTATTGGATCGATTCAGGATGACGAAATGAATGTTATAATATAAATTAACTCAAATCTTAGAATATTTTGTACAAAATGAGGGAAGAATAGCTATAGTCAAATAAAGAATCAATGAGGACTATAATACATAGATATATATTAGATCGATAATACGAGAATTTAGGCAAATTTTAAGTTATGAATATGGTGAAGACGCACAACAGATTTGTAACCAACCGACACACTGTGTGTAATTGAAGATGGTTTTATCTTTTTATGTATGTTTGTTTAAAAATAAAAATAAAATTTTCCCCCCAAAAAAGAAGAAGAAATCTATTTTTCATTTGATAATGGAATTAATTCTCTGGGGGCGGGATATAAAAGTTTGAGGACTGTATACAGGTAATCTTCAACTTGCAACAGTTTTTTTAGTGACTGTTTGAAGTTACAACGGCACTGAAAAAAGTGACTTATAACCAGTTTTCATACTTATGACCGTTGCGGGCATCCCTATGTTCACATGATCAAAATTCAGCCACTTGGCAACTGACTCATATTTATGACAGTTGCAATATCCTGAAATAATGTGATCACTTTTTGCAGCCTTCTGAGAAGCAAAGTCAATGGGGAAGCTAGATTCACTTAACAACCATGCTACTAACTTAACAACTGCAGTGATTTCACTTAATAACTGTGGCAAAAAAAAAGATTGTAAAATGGAGCAATGTACTTACCTGTATGACTTGGGATGTAGATTGCTCCTCCCCTGACCTAAAACTGTTGGACAATAATTTGCTCCATAGTGTTAAAGATTGTACTCATTTGTGGATTTTAGATTGCACTTATCTGAAAATGCTAAGGTAATATGTAAAGATGGTTTTTATTGATAATGGTTTGGGGTTTTTTTGCAGCTTCGCAAAGCAATAATTGATCATATCTCGGACTCCTTCATGGACACAACTGTGCCACTTCTAGTGCTCACTGAAGCTGCTAAAAGTGGGCATGAAAAAGAAATCAAAGAATACGCTGCAATATTTACAGAGCATACACAAAGACTTATTGAGGTGAGGCTTGTAGAAATACTCTATATTATGCAGCATGCAATGAATTAGGGTTTATACATGTAATATATTTGTTTTTTCTTAGCAGGATTTATTGGTTTCTGTGTTTTGGTATTGACTGATTTCACTTCACCCAGAAGTTGTTATAGTTCTTGTTTTAGCATTCTGCTACTTTCGTTGTTTTGTCTCATTTGAACCGTATACTGTAGTTCAGTTGTCATTATGAGTTATTTACTACCTAAAGGCTATCAAATTACTGTAGCTGATTCCTAAATCCTTTTCCTCAAGGGGAATGGCCAGAATTAGACAGATTCCAAAAATTCAGCATTCATATTGTTTTTTGATGGAATCCTAATATCTATCTATATAGAAAAGTCCAAATTGAAAGTAGGACTCCCATGCAGTGATGAAATGCTCCAAAGTCTGCTACTGGTTCGCTGCGTGCGCTTGCGTGGTACGTGCCAAACACACGCTTCATGCACATGCGCACCGCAGGCGCTACTACACAGTGCTGAAAAAGCAGGCTTAAGAAGCCTTTTCCAAGGTAAGTAGAACAGCGAAGGGAGGGGGACAGCTGTGCCACGTGATTTAGATTCGCTAGAAAGTAGGATTTTCTGCTTTCTAGTGAATATAAATCGCGGGGCACAGCTGATCGCCGGAAATACCGGTTCGTCCGAACAGGTAGCATTTGTTTTTACTACCGGTTCAGGCGAACTGGTACCTTTTATTACTACCAGTTCGGGCGAACTGGTCTGAACCGGTAGCATTTCACCCCTGCTCCCATGAAAAATCATTTTGTCAAGATTTCTTAATTCAATTCAAATTAATTCCAGTTAATTTATTGCCTGATCCGCAGTGGTCTATTCCATTCAACGCTGGTCAAAAGAAAGAACTGTTGAGCTTTTCAATACACCTCACCATTTTCTTTACAATGGTGGCCAAAGCATTTCTGACAAAATTCTTTGGTACTAAAAGCACTTCTTCTGAGCAATTAAGAGACCCAATTGTTCCTTTCCCCATTCCACTCTGAACTTCAAAAACTGATTTGCATCTATAGAATTATTTATGGCTGGATGGAAAATATACCAAAGTATATAATTTCATGTGAGGCATACATCTGATTTTTTTTAGAGAATGCAAGTGTCAAATTACATTGGAAAGAACATTGCAATGCTATTTTACTTTAATATTAATTATTGTATATAGTTTTTCTGTTGTTCGCATAATCAGTATAGAATACTTGTTTGAGGAGTTGAAGAGTATGATGATATTTTTATGTTCATGTGTATGTGTGCAGAAAAGTAATTCAAATAATCTTGATTTTAATTCAAGAAAATACTTTTCTTCTGGTATTCATCAGCTCTTTATTAGCATCCATGTCTTTTTTACTGTACAAGCTGCTTTATGTTAATTATCTTTTCAATAGTACGATATCTGGATATCTGAGCGATTTTGGAATATGTAACACTGCATTAAACAGGAAAAGAAAAGGAATTATTCAGTTGACTTAAAATAAATGACATTATTATAGAGGTGATGTCTATGCATGTAAATGAAGAATTCTGCTTTTGAAACATGGTTCATAATCATTAAATACTTTCTGGCTTGTGAGGAGAAAATTTGCAAACAGGGTGTTCTGTAAACAGAACTTTTTTTTTTGGTTTTATTTCTCCTCAAACTGGTTCCTCAGGGACATTAGGTTAGGAATTCTTACCAATAGAAAATAATATACGTAGTGCAATTCTTATCACTTCCTGGTAGCACTGAATTATGGTGGTTGGTCCAAACAATCAGGAGAATACTAAAATAGTTTATATCATGACATAGATAAGTATAAACAACCTATGTTCACTAGCCATGGTCATCCCTAGTTGAAAATTACAGACCAATCTCTTTATGTTGCATCACCTGCAAAGTCATGGAATCAATCATAAACCAATATATTACCCTACACTTAGAGACAAACAACCTACTCTCTAACAAACAATTTGATTTCAGGAAAAATTTGTTCTATAATCTGCAACTCCTACATTGCAAAAACATATGGACTACATAACTCGACCAAGGCAAAGCAATAGACCCAATTTACATAGACTTCTGTAAAGCCTTTGATTCAGTGGTACAGAACAAACTACTTCTAAAACTAGAATCTTATGGCATTTCCGGACCCTTGCATAAGTGGATAGCTGCATTCCTATCAAACAGACAACAAGTAGTCAAAATAGGGAGCGCCCTATCAAACCCTGAACCTATTAACAGCGGTGTCCCCCAAGGCAACGTTTTAGGACCCATACTCTTTATACTTTACATAAATGACCTTTGCGATAATAATATAAGTGTTTTTCCAATTTTTAAGATGTGTGGACTTCAGCTCCCAAAGTCTGGGAAATTCTAGGAGTTGAACTTCATACATCTTAAAATTGCCAAATTTGAAAAACACCGACTTACTTAGATTATATTTTAATAGGGTTATCATTCTTGGGTTGCAGTATTTGGAATGGCCACTAGAAGGTAGGAAATGGTATTTTAAAAATGTCTTTGTTGCCATCTCCTGACTGCCTAGATTTCTGCAGTCGTAATTTTGATGGTATGTGTTTTAATGATGAAATTCTCAGCAACAGTCTGGTTGAATTATATGGCTGCAGATGCCGCCAAGCTGCCACTTGAAATAGCATGAGTTATTTTTATTTTTTTTAAAAAACATAGATGTGTTACCCTTGCCCACATCATTTTCAAAATGAGGCTTTTAAAGTCTGGGAAATTGTTCAAAATTGATGCACTGCTTCAGACTGTGTATTTGTTAATGTGTGTCCTGGTCTTCAGCCTAAGCTTGTTAATTTTTTCCAGAAAAAAAAAAAATCAGAGCCAACTATGGAAATGCTTTACTAAACTGCAAGCAAAGTGATCTAATCTGAGTAAATATGGATGAAAATAAAAGTGGACCAACCAGACCTAACAAATTAAAGGTTGTGTAAGAAACTAAGATAGAGGGCAAGTACAGGATACATTTTTTGTTGCTACATAAATCTGGACTAGGGGTGGGTTCTACTTACCTTTACTACTGGTTCGCAATGAGATTGCACATGCGCAGATTGCTGATGATGACATCCAGAGCGGTGGGCAGGGCCTCCCACCGGTTTTACTACTGGTCCGAACTGGGGGCAACCCACCATTGATCTGGACTGAATAGAGAAATGAGATTCATCTTATTTATATTTAGGAACTCTGCGCAACTCTATTTGTATCCTAGTATTGTGTTATGAGTAAAGAAAAAGAAAGATTTTTAAAATGTTTTTTTCTTATTTTGTCAAGTACATATTAGAGAATATATATATGTATAAGCATGAATTGAATACATAAAATGAATACAATTAAAGGGAACATTAGGACAGGGACGGTAGGCACGCTGGTGCTCTTATGCACGCCCCTTACAGACCTCTTAGGAATGGGGTGAGGTCAACAGTAGACAGTCTTCAGTTAAAATTTGGGGGGTTTTGGGATGAGACCACAGAGTCTGGTAGTGCATTCCAGGCATTAACAACTCTGTTAATTTCATAACTCCCCATGAGAAATACAAATGAAAGGGAAAAATCATGAAAAATGAGGTTATCCAGTACTGATGGTGACCTTTGTAAACTCTCTTCCATAGAGTTCCTCAAACAGCCAAGACAGCTTATGATAAGAAGGCCTGAAACATTTGACTTTAGTGTTTTCAGTTCAAGTACAACTGTATGCATTGTACAAAAGTCTTTAATTGACTTGGAGCTCATAAACAATGAACTTTTGTCTATGTCTGAAAAGTTGGTTTTAAATTATGCACCCTAAAAATGAACTTTACTGCAAGGCCACGTGAATAAAAATAGCATTAGAAGCATTATAAACTTCAACCAAGCATAAACAGCTGTATCCCATATTTTCTTTGAAAATTTTGAAGTTTGTCCTTCTTTTCTTCTTTTGATGAAAATGCATTTACATTTTCTTTAATGGTAAGTTATAAATAGGAAACTAGCACTTTAGCAAACGTTGCCACCCATGTATCTTCTTGAACATCTGCACTTTCTGCTTTCGGTTTTAGCGCACATTTATTTGTTCATTTTATCAATTTATTTGTTCACTTAATCTTTTATTTCTGTTTTCCTGCTTCAAGTATGATTAGGAAGACACTATAACTGCTGCTACTGCAATTACTGACTTATCTGTTGCATACATTATAAAATTATAAATAATACTCATTCGCATTTATTGGACGTAGATGCTTACTGTTAGTTTTCTTGCAAAACCTAACCTTTATGCAACTTTTCCATAATGGGTAGAATACTGGCAAATGCACTGTGAATACATTTGTCACAGTGGTGAGTTTCACAAATTCTTAGTACTGGTTCGTTGCGCGTGCTCGCACGCTCTCTTGACACACATGCATGCCTTCCGTGCATGCATCTGGCCTTCTGTGCATGCGCTTTGCTCGTCTGCGCATCTTCCACGCATGCGCCCAGCCTTGAAAACATGGCTAAATAGGACAGCATTTCTGTTGTGACCAAGGCCCAAGTAGGTATTATCAGGCACAATCAGTCCTAAACAAACAGACTTTATTAGAACAGCTGAGAATTAACTCATTCTCAGAGTAGTCCAAACTAATTCAAAACAAATTCTTCATAACACAATTCTTCAGCCTTATCACCAACCTTGGTCTAATTAGGCAACCTGCCAAAGGCTTTTCTTGGCAAAAGTTCAGAAACAGAAGACGCCGACAAGAAATAAATGCAGCAAGACAAGAAACAAATCTATCAACGTTGTTTTCTGACAAAGAGCCCAAGAGCCGTTGCTAGTCTTTTAAGACTTATGGGAGGGGCCAATCATCTCTTGGCCTTACTCCCGAGTCGTCCTTTTTGCTTTAGCTGCTCTTGCCTTCTGGCGTGCACTAGGAACAGGATCCTCCTATTCCTCTGCCTCTCTGCTGTCAGCCTCTGGAGCCTCCGGAGTCCACACATCACTCCCAGATGGCA